AAATAAGAAGCTACCATTTCTATTTTTCCTGTGATGGAATTAATATATAACCTGACGAGAATTCTTTTTTGGTAGTATTTATCTTCAAACACACTTACAATTATATTTTATTTAAGTAGTGATACAGGATTAAAATAAGAAAATTAGCTATAGGATCTCTTGGGTATCATTTGTCAGGCTCACTTTGATTTTCTAGATCAGTGGCTAGCACTGTCGTCACTGGCTCTCAGAGCAGTGACAAGAAAGGAAATGAACGCTTTTCCTTTTAACGCTCGATTTTCATAAACCCTGAATGGAAGATAATTAAGAATGATACCAGCTTTTATAACATAATACACAAATTATACTTTTTCCCAACAAGATAAAGCTTGCAAATAGACTTTAAAAAATAAAGTTGTCTCAATGAAATTAATTTAGTTTATTTGAATGGGTCTTCATCTGTAGTGCATGTCATCATTAACGCCCTTTTCTTAAGAGAGAAAAAAGAGTCATGGTGTCTCCTTTAGTTCCTTCGTTTCTTTTTCTTGCCCAATTACCTTCATTTGTAGGACAAAATTAATATTTCCATCACTGAAAACATTTTTTTGAAGCAGTTGAGCAGCTGGTGAGATTAGGAGAGAAGGCGCCCCAGCCAGTTGCTTGTTACAGCGGGTTTTGGAAGAATATCTAAAAGAAGCAGGAGTCTTCGCCTGTTATAAATTTTTCCTCTCTTCATTTCTGTTTCAAATGTTGCAAAACTCTAGCATATCGATTTTGAGATTCTGTTCAGGTTCTTCACGCTGTTGTGATGAAGCGTGTCATTGAGTTCCACCCCTAAATTATACATCTCTGCTTTTTCTAGTCCAGTCTGTGTGCTCCTTTTTAGTTTTGGGGGCTGGGAATATAATGCTAATTTTGCTTTTTAGACTATGGCAGTGCATTCACATTTGTATAGAATCTTAGAGAACTTTGACTCCTAATGTTGACCCCCCAACAACTTTCTTTTTGTATCTTGATTGTTTTCTTTGTGTTATTCAGTGTTTGCATATTGTATGCAGTTTTTGTATCTTCTTTTTAAAACTGTGAGAGTTTTAGTGAGATATAATTGACATACAATAAACTGCACACGTTTAAAGCATATAATTTGATGTGTTTTAACACGTGTGCACCCATGAGACCACCACCATGGAATCAAGGATGTGAGCATATCCATCCCCTTAGAGCATGTCCTTCATTATCACCCCCTTCCTCTTCTGCCTGCCCCCTCAAATCCAGGCAATCACAGATCATCTGTGTGGCATTACACATTTGTTCACATTTTCTAGAATTTGATATACGTGGAGTCACTCAGGATGATCTTTTTTTTTTTGTCTGACTTATTTCATTTAACATAATTATTTTTTGACTCATTTCTGTGTCTTTTTATTGCTGGGAAGTCTTCCATTCTATGGTGTGTAATAACATGTGTATATGTCTCTCTGTATATGATCTCTATATATCCATATGTTTCTGTCCCCTATTCTTGCTAATATTCGCTCGTATTTGGTCTGTCCCCTGGATTACTGACACAGGGAGAGCTGGCTTCTGTGGGGGCTTTCTGCTGCCTGTGCCCTCTGGCATTGCCAGGTTGCTGGCTTCTTCAGCTCCAAGTCTGGGGCACACGAGGCAAGAAGAAACCCTGGGGAAGCCTCCAGCGTGTCGCTCCTCAGGCCCAGAGGTCCCTAGGTGATCTGCTGTCTCCTCTCCACTTTCAGGCTTTTAATTTTGTTTTACGTTATCATATCCAGAGTTTTTAGTTGTACGTATGCAGAGGAATAAGAAAAAGCATGTCTACTCATCTTCCTGGAAGTGGAAGTTACAGCTTTTTTTTTAAAGTTAATAGATATTAGGGATCATTTCATATTACTCCGTACATTGCATACTTAATCTTTTATTTAAAGTATGCCTTGTATCTCATTTAATGAGTGTACCATCAATTTTTAACCAGCCCCATTTGGTTGTTTTCACTCTTTTGCCATCATAAATAGTGCGGTAGCGAATGACATGTGTATGCAGCGGTTTACATATGTGCCTGTAGAGCTAAAAGATAACTCCCTATCTTATTATCCGTATCTTCTTAGGGAGCTATGTGTTCATTTGATAGAAGAGTCACTACCTCCAAAGGCAGTCAGATTATTTCATTTGAGAGCGATCTAGTTGTGAATGTCACTCCTTGTGTGATGCACACTTGTATCTCCCTTCCTATAATTTCCTCTTTGATTCTAGCTCTGAACTGGGGATGAAGATAGGCCCAGTCCAGCCCCCCCTCTTCCTTACAACCCTCAGACATTCAAAGATGAGTCTTTGACACCTACATCTTCTGTCCTCCAGCCTAAAAGTTTGAGTCATTTTACCCATTTTTCTTCGGGCATGCATGGTTTCTCAATATTCTGAGTACAGCCTGGTTTGTTGAACATATCTTTCCACCTGGGCACCTAGAAGGGAACGGAATACTGTAGTCCGTATGGGGGCTAATGGTTGCTATAGAAGAGGACACTGGCTCTGAGTTACAACCCCAGAGACCATTGTGGGGCCTTCCTTGCATGAAGCAGGTAGTATTTTTTGACTGAATGAATGCACTAATCAACCAATGAGCTAATAAATACCGAGCTTATTCTAGACTCAGATCCCCAGTTTTGACCACATGCACTTCTGCTTCTGATTCTATACGTGCATGGTTGATTTGGGGGACATATGGCAAGATTTTACATTTGTCCCTGTTAAACTATGTCACTAGTGCTAGCCAGTCTTCCAACATGGTCAGATCATTTTGGGTACTAATTCGGTCCTTTTATGTATTGTCTTCCCTTCTCAACATCATGCCATCTGTAGATTTTTCCTGTGTGCCATCCAAATACTCATCTGAATATTTAAGTAAGGTATATTTTGCTCATATCCATATAAAATATTCATAAGATCTTTAAAAATGGTGACTTCCTAGAAGTAGAGTTGCTGGGTCAAGGGGTATGTGTATTTTATATTTTGATAGATAATGCTAAGTGGCTTCTGTGGAGATGGTTGGCAGCCTGAATCAGCCCGAATGTTGTCTGAATAAGCAAGACTCCTGGTCAGAGGAGACCATTAGAGCCCAAGGGAAGCACTAGATCTCAGGATACAACACTGAGGTTATTATCTGATGGACCTTCCCGCATTTCTTGAACAGTTTTCCATATAAAATTGTTCAAAATATAAGGAAAGTATTTATTTTGATCAGAAATTCTGCCTTATGGAGATTTGGGGATAGTTGCAATGTATAGTATGTTTGGGTTTTATAATAATACCTCATTCTACCCAAGTAAACGTGTATTTTCTTCAGTAGATTTCTCTGTGGCTGTTAAGTTCTCATTTGGGTTTGAATTACGCTCTTGTGACTGATGATGGAAAGCAGTCCATCAGTTAAGCACTTGTTCTTAATCTAATCGGTCGCTCAAGTTCCCAGGCGTTTCTTGTGGTTCGATTGTTATTGTTCATCAGTTTATTGTTATGATTTCCACCCAAGATTCTCCAAGGGATTTTTCTTTCTCTGATTAACTTCACTAGAGTGGTGGATGAGCTGCTAATTTCATCATTTCGAATGCACTCCTGTTGTGTATATATAATATATACTTTTGGTCTGGTTTCTTTTCTCAACCCAGTGTCCATGTTTTGTGTTTCGGTAGTTTATTCTTTTTATTATTCTGCATTATTCCATTGTATGAACAGATCACAATTTGTTTATCCATTCTTCTGTGGAATGAATTGTTCCAGTTTTTGGTTATTATGAATAAGGCTGCTGTGAACATTTTTACACATGCTATTTAGTAGAAATACCATGCTATCTCTTAATATCTCTTACTCAGGATTGTTTCAATCTCACAAAATTGTCTACTGAATTTATTCTCTACCTTGTTTACTCCCCCGTACTCACCTTTTCCTGGATGATAATCTCTTAAAATTCACTTCAGGTAGAAGGCTTTTTTTTTAAAGATTTTATTGGGAAATTGGGGGAGGGAACAGCATTGGGAAATTGGGTGAGGGGAACAGACAAGTTGCTGTCCTTTTGTTCTTCAGTCTAGTTGTGGAGGATGTTGCTTCACTGGCCCAAGTTGGCACCGTCATTGCGCTCTTCCGGGCAAGGCAGATCAGTCACCGACCTCTGGACGGCTGTTCACGGTGGCTGTTGGCCGCTCATGCTGGCTGCTGGCCACACACTGTAGCCCATGGCAACCCACTGCCACAGGGGCTGCAGCCTACGCTGTCGCCAGTGACTCGAGTCACGGCAGCCCAGCTCCAGGTTGAGCTGTTGTTCAGCATCTTAGCTGTAGAGGGCAGTGTCACTGGCCCTCATATGTGGGATCCGAACCGGGGCCCTCTGGCGTCCCAAGCCAGCTCTTAACCATCACGCCACTCGGCCGGCCCATCTGATACATGTTCTTAACCAGACTTTTTCTAAACTGTGTTCCTTGAATGGCATTAATCTGAGATGTTAAGTAAGGCTGGTACAAAATAAGTATCAAATAAGTTACTATGTCCCTTTTTGAGAGAGTCACAGTGCACCTTAGCATACAAGGTTCTAGTGTTATGCAGTAAAGAAGTCTATCTGTTTGTTCATCTCAGCGTCTTCTAGAAACATTTGAGTGTGGAACACGTCAGAACATATTAGGGGTGTTCTGGGGTTACTGATTTGGGAAATCCTGCAAAAAACTGAGCAAGGTTTTCTTGGTAGTGTTTTAACGCATCAAATAAAATTTACTAAAAGTGATGAAATTTTCAAGAAGTTAAAGCATTTGGCTGAATTGTATTTGGGGTGTATTGTAGAAATTGCATTTTGAATGATTTTGATACTTTTGATGGCCTTTAGGAATTTGTAAAACTATTGTAAAAATGCTGCTCTTTTGTTGGAAAGAGATTTTTGTTGTTGCTCATATTATCATTATTTGCGCAACTGTTTTTCTTCCATAAGAATTTGCTTTTATCTTTAAAAAACATATTTACCGTTTCAGATAGCGTGACACAGGAGAGGAGGCCTCCCAAACTTGCCTTTATGTCAAGAGGTGTTGGGGACAAAGGTTCATCCAGTCACAATAAACCAAAGGTTACAGGTATGGATTCATTAGAGTACAGTTCTTAGTTACAACATGTAGCTGATTTGCCATGGCATTGAAAAAAGGTTCAAAGGTATTATGCCTTAATGTGTATGTAGATTCTCTTCTTTCAAACATTTCTAGTAGTTTACGAAAATTTTTTTACAGATGGTGTTGATTAAGCCAAGAGTTCCCACCTTTTCCTGGTTGATGAAAAGCTTTCAGTGAGGACCTGTGCCTTTTGCTGGTCCCTATCAGCTGGAACTCCCTGCTTGTGACATGTGTACATTGTGTGGAGTTGCAACTGTACAAAATAATCACATACAGATAATGTTACCTAGGAAAAAATATACTAGAGATTAGTTATGTGGATTTTGCTAACTAGATGTGGTACAAATTAAATTCAAAACGGCTAAGCACAATTTTTTATCTCTCCTCCAGAAACCTCCCCCAAAATAGTTGTGAGTCTTTTGTTAGCGTCACATATTTCATAGATTTATAAGGTGGTAGTTAACAAGCTAAGCAGCTCATTTAAACAGTTGTCAGAATTTTTGTTAACTGAGATGTGGGTTAGGAATAGAATATTTTTTCCTCAATTATCTAGTGAACATACTGTTTTGGCTCAGTTAAAAGGAAACTGTACTTTAATAAATATTTCTTGTGACATTGGACCTTGGAAGACTCAGAATTACATAGAATATATTAGTAATAGTAATTTTTATGTTAACCGGTAAATTTAGATAGAATAGCTCAAACATGCTATTTTCAGTTAAGTATAAATAGCTAAAGGTTTTATTAAGACCTGTGTTACTTATGTTGTAGCAGATCTTAGTTATAGGTATGAAGTTAGAGCTATCTTTTTTCAATTGAAAGAAAAAACAGATTTTGTGTGGGTTCTGGAGACCCACAGTTCTCATCTATAGCACTGAAGCAGGGTAATGTTTTGACACTAACCCTTTCTTACATTTAATAACTGTAACATATGAGAAGTAATACTGCTTCACTTTCTCAAAGACATGAAGAAATTAAGCAAGGAATTTGATCAACAATTCCAAAATGTTTAAACCTTACATTTTTGAAATTTAATTTGTTCATTGATTTGTATACATTTGAAGATTACCTCCTTCTGAGAGCAGCTGTTTTAAAATAATAGGCTAACTTTGTGAACCAACAGCTTCATCAGATGAAATTGGGGAATGGTGATTTTGACATTTGGAAATAAGCCGTGGTTACGTGAAATGATTTTTTAAAGCAGTTTATTAAAAAAAAAAAATATATATATATATATATATATATATATATATATATATATATATCAAGCTTTCCTTTTAACTTACTCCTGGTCCTCTTCTCTGTTGACTCTTGGGTGGAAGACTCTTTTTGACATTGCCAAAATGGTTACCAAAGTTTTAAAAGCTGAAGACACTAATAAAATACGTTGTGTTCGTATATATCTATTGGTCGTGTAAACAATTGTTAACACCATATGCATATTAATTTCTCTTATGGAAAAACTTTCACATCACATTAACTTTATTTTTAAAAGAAACTTCTCTTGTTCCATAGGATCTACCTCAGACCCTGGAAATAGAAACAGATCTGAATTATTTTATACCTTAAATGGGTCTTCTGTTGACTCACAACCACAATCCAAATCAAAAAATACATGGTACATCGACGAAGGTAATCTATAATTTTAGTGTTCTTTATAATGATCCTCCCTTTTCATCAATATATGCAGTTTGGGGAAACAGCATGAATAGACCATTCTTTTTTAATATTGCTGAACTAAAATACTGTACACAATTTGAACTACTCTGCTAAGATTAATAAAACATTTAGAAAATGCATTAGCAACTTGTTCTCTATCCTTAACTGATCTGTTGAGGGTAAAAGATCTCTAGAATCAGTGAAATCATTTCAAGACTTTTTGTCTGGGTCTTTGCCTCTTTATAGCACTCCCTTTTTATAAACTCTACCGCGCCTTGGTTCTTGGACATCATTTTCTTCTGGTTTATTCTTTTCTTTGTTGATCTGTTCAACAAATTTGTTTTTGAGTGCTTGCTACGTGCCAGACATTCTTCTAGGCATCGAGGTTACAACGGTGAGAACAAATAGACATCATCCTTGCCCTCTCTGAGTTTATGGTCAAGTTGTTAAAACAGACATTGATCAAACAGTCACAGAAACAGATGTAGAATTGCAGCCGTGATGCGTACAAGAAGGCCCACGATGCTGGGGGAGTGTACTGAAGGATGGTTTTACTCACGGCGCTCAGGGATGTTTCTCTGAGGAAGTGTCATGAGCTTAGATTTATCAGCGGAGTGGTAGATAAAGTAAAAGGGGACAGAGAACCTTTTAGGCAGAGGGAATATGTAAAGGTCTTGTGGAAACATGGAACCTGGTGTTTGCTAAGGACTAAAAGAGCCAGAGTCGCTAGAGCAGAGCGGAGGCATGACATTTCATGAGAAAGGCAGACGGGGCCAGGCCGGGGCGCATGCAGCCGGGAGCCCCTGTTTAAAGGAAACGGGAAGCCACTGGCGGATTTTCAGCAAGGGGTGATGTGACCAAGTGTCCCTTTTGAAAAGGCCATTCTGTCTGCAGGGTGGACAGTGGATTGAGGCAGGAATGTGCGAAAGGCTGTCGCAGGGCTCAGTGTTAGATCATGGTATCTGGGACTGGGCTTGCTGGGGAGAAATGGGGAACAGTGGGTGGCTCTGAGCCAGCAGGAAGTGACAGGACTCACAGATTGAAAGTGAGAGCTGAGAAAGAAGGCGGTGTCAGTGATGACTGGTTTTCTGGCTTGCATACTTAGATGATTATGGAGCAAGGTGATGAATGGCTTTGGAATATGTTCAGTTTGAGGGGCCTGTTAAACTTCCTAGAGGTGATTTGTCAGGTAGGCAGTTGGATACACAGATCTGGAGCTCAGGAGAGAGGTAAGAGCTGGAGAAAGAAATTTGTGGGTTGCCTTCGCACATGTGGCGATTAAAGTCCAGTGAATAATATCACCTGAGGAGAGAGGGGATGGAGGGTGTGGCTTAAGGCTGAGCCTTGAGGAACTTAAGGGCTAGGAGGAGGATAAGCCTTCAAAGGAAGCAGAAAAAGTGACGGGATGATATGGGGTAAATCAGGACATGGTTGGGTCAGTAAGCCAATGAGCTAGTGGGCAGCAGTATGGAAGGCGCCCGTGGACTTAGCCCGTGAAGGGCGCTGCTGGCCTTAGTGAGCTATGTTTTTATGGAGCAAGTTAATGGAGACATGAGTCCAGTTGCCCAAAACAGATGTTTGGATTTAGCCTGGACTTTCTCCCTCTCTCATTAGTCACATCCAGATGTCACCAAGTCCCCTGGATTTCCTCACCTTCACTGTCACCTTCACTAGCATCTTTCCCCACTGCCTTCGTTCAGATCCTTTTCTTTGTTCGTTGCTGTCTGGGTTAATATACTGGCCTTCTAACTAGTCCTAAAAGGCCTAACTGGGACATAAAAAGTAATGAAATTTACATGGAGTACGGTCTTCATCCTTAAATTAGAAAATAGGAGTAATTTAGTTGTAAAAGAGCATTTCTTGTGATTAATTTTACTTACACATTTAAAAAAAAACTATCCTCTACATTTGATTGATTGATTTATTTTTTTACAATTGTTGGGTATTTTCTTGTGTTAGTAGCTATGGATTCCACCATGAAAATGACTAGCAAACTTCCTGTTATTAGAGAGCTTGTATTCTAGTTGGTATGATGGACAATAAATGTTTAGACAGACAAGCAGTGAAGGAAATGAACAAGGTGAGAGCGACAGGTGGAAAGCCGGCTACCGCAGGGGGGTTTGGAAAGACTGAGGAAATGCTGTTTAGGTTGCAATCGGCATGGTGCTGATGAACCTGCTGGAGAAGGAGCTTGGGGAGAGCTCCCTGGGCAGAGGAAACATAATAGCAAGGGAAAGGCCCTGAGGTGGGAACGGGCATTCCAGGAACAGGTGCAGGTCTGCGTGGCCACAGCACAGTAAGCGAGGAAGGGGGGGACGAGAGGAGTTTGGAGAGGCAGGCAGGAGCGCGGTCATCCGGGACCGCGTAGGCCTTGGTAAGAGATATGAGAAGATTGGAAAGCCATTGAAAGGTTTTAATCAGGGGAACGATATAAGATCATTTAAGATCTTTCCATTTAAAAAGATCTCACTAGTCATTGTAAGGTGAATAGATTGGAGAGGGGCAAAAAGAGAGATTCAGAAATTTTAAATAATTTCTTTGATCCATTTGTTATTTAGAAGCATCTTTTACAAGTTTTTTTGGTATCTTTTTGTACTGCTTTTTAACTTAATTATTATGGACAAAGAGTATTACCTTTACAGTACTGATCAATAATAGACGTTTTTTCGTTTGAACAATGGAGTGTCATTTACTGAGGCAGCAAACTTTGGAGGTGGCGGGGAGACTCGGGGACCCTATTTTGGGGGTATTAAGTTTGCGATGATTATGAGAATTCCACCAGAGGTCAGGTGGGCAGCTGGACTAGATGTGCGTTGATTTTTAGAGATGTAGGGCATATTTAATATTCTTGCATACATTTCTCTAATGAAGAATAATTTTTTTATAGTTGCTGAAGACCCAGCAAAATCGCTCACAGAGCTATCTCCAGAATTCGGACAAGCTTCGCCACCCCTGCAACCTCCTTCCATGAACTCGTTATCCAGTGAAAACCGATTTCACTCCTTACCGTTCAGTCTGACAAAGATGCCCAATACCAATGGAAGTATTGGCCACAGCCCGCTCTCTCTGTCGGTTCAATCTGTGATGGGGGAGCTAAACAACGCACCTGTCCAGGAGAGCCCCCCCTTGGCCGTGTCTTCCAGTAACTCGCATGGTCTGGAGGTGGGCTCCCTGGCAGAAGTGAAGGAGAACCCCCCTTTCTATGGGGTGATCCGTTGGATTGGTCAGCCCCCCGGACTCAATGAAGTACTAGCCGGACTGGAACTGGTAAATTATTTTGACCTAAAAGTTGCAACTCTTTTCTAGAGGTGGTTTTGTACAGATTTTTCCCCCCCTATTGTATGCTTTTTGGTGAAATGTTATATTTGTCAAAAAAGCCATCACTAGAGAAAAATTTTATTACCATGTTGCCTGACTTCCTTTGCCGCCCACTGAGCATCTGATACTTGTTCCAAAATGTTCGTTGGTCTGTGTCCAAGGAATGAAAATAGATTTTTAGGTTAATATGTTTAGGCTCATTGTATTAGACAGAATACAGTAAGGAAAGCAAATCTGTTCATCAGCTTTTCTTTTTCTTCCTTGGCCTCCCTCCCCCAGTCAGTTCTAATATTTATATCATGGGCTTTAAGATTAATCACCATTTTTAGAAATCTCTTCAGATTTTCGGTAGACGGAACAATTTTCCCTTTGGAGATTAAGAAAGCATATTGTTTCACATTTCATAATCAGGAGAGAATTTGAGTACATTTAGTTTTCATTTAAATATATTTCTTGTTTTTTTTATTTGCATGCTAGTGAATGTAAAAATAAAAAGCCTCTTTCTCTCTCACTTGTCCCCGCCACCCGGTTTTAATACTTTAGGAAACGGGGCAGGCAAGTCAGTTAACCAGGGAAGGTTTAAGCAAGTACTCTGAAAGGAAATCCACAGAGGTCTTCATGCTGGATTAAGGAATGAATTTCTTAAATCATCAGCTGTGGACGGAAACGCTGGTTAGTCAGCCCCGTTTTGCTGATGGAGTTCTCAGTACAGGTGTGACGAGGGGATTCAGAGAAAGGGGAAACTGGAACCAAACCCTAGTTCTTGGTATCCTACCTTTGCAAGAAGCAGAATAACACATAGGACACATCTCTTTATCAGGAAGACGAGTGTGCGGGCTGTACAGACGGGACCTTCAAGGGCGTTCGCTACTTCACCTGCGCCCTGAAGAAGGCGCTGTTTGTCAAACTGAAGAGCTGCCGGCCCGACTCTCGGTTTGCATCGCTGCAGCCCGTTTCCAATCAGATCGAACGCTGTAACTCCTTAGGTATTTGTATGCCTTTCACTGATTTAGCTCCAGTCCAGAATGACTCTAGTTCTGTTCTCATGCCATTTGACATTAGGTGGCAGTGACAGTGTTTAAATTTGTTTCTTGCCAGTGTTCGTCAAGCTTTTAAATGAGTGAAAGTTGCTACTTGGTGTATAGGAAAGTTACAGTTACCCTAAGAAGAGACATATAATGAAAGTGTTAGTCAGTGAATGTCTGGAAAACAGTGGGATTTATTTTCCTCTTCCTGTTAATAACAGACATTTCATTTTCAACAGCACAGGAGGTAGAAATTGCAATGTGGCCTTCTTTTCACACCGACTTTCCTCTCAATGTGTTGTTCAAGTACATCCCTTGGCCTATTTTATCAAGAAGCCAGCATTATTATAAGAAGTACTTTTCGATTGCTTGCTGAAGGACGGATGTCCTCCTCACTTGCAGTTGGTGGCAGTTTCCTGACGCCGTCCCCTTCCGGTTGGGGTAATAGTGCTGAAGCATCTTGAGGGGTAAACAGGCGTAAATAGGAAAGCCATCCTGATAAAACACATTTTTCATTACAGTTGAAATAGTACTTTGGAATTTTTGTTCTCCAACTTGAAAATGAGACATCTTCAAACGAAAAATAAAATATTTGGGGAGCAAAATATTTTACTTGGCAGATGCTTTTTAACATTACTTAATACTCTAAAGTGTTTTTTAAATTATGAAAGCAGTGAGGTTGAAAGTGAACAGTAGCATTTTTTTACAAGCCAAGCTGAATGACAGTGAACCAAAACCTACCTTTAACTTAGCGTTGAGAAAGAAATTTTGCATCAAAATACAAAAAAGTATTTTTAAGTGAAGACATATGTGGGAACACATATTATAATAGTTTAAAAGAATTAATAGTTTCATTTTTATCTTTTCAGCCTTTGGAGGCTACTTAAGTGAAGTAGTAGAAGAAAATACTCCACCAAAGATGGAAAAAGAAGGTTTAGATATAATGATTGGAAAGAAGAAAGGGATCCAGGGCCATTACAACTCCTGCTACTTGGACTCGACCTTATTCTGGTAAGTTTACAATGAACACAGGAGGATATAGTGCCGCTGCCCCACAGTTATCATGCTTATCAGTCCAGTGGGTCTAGCTTCTTAAACTCAATTTTCTGTGTAAGAATGGGAGCTAGGAAAGTTTTTATTTATGGCAGGGACATGTGTGTGTGGGAGGGGACACGAAAGAAAGGGAGATTTGCATTTCGTGATGTACTCCTTGGAAACTAACAAATGTTGTCTCATGTGCCGTATCCAAAAAATGAACATAAAACTGTAATGCAGTGAATGATGGCTAAGAGGTGAATGATAGTGTCACAAGTGGGGGGAATATTGTGAGGGCATGTGGGACATCATAGGCCTGAAGAGAGAGAGGAAGCAGTGTCTTTGGGCGCCTGTCAAAAAACGTGACCTTTGCAAGAAGCCGTTCATTGGCTGCTGAGTATACTTGTTTACTAGGTGGAGGCAGTCATAAAAAGACTTTATTTTAAAGAACTATTTTCAGTAGAAGCACAGTTACCCTTGTATATGTAGTTTATTCCAAAATGGAACAACTTAACACGGCAAGAATTTTTACATCCTGAAGACTGAACCAAGTACATTGCCAGTTAAATCAAGTGTACCCTGCCAGCTCTGTATAGTGCCAGTTAAATCAAGTGTACCCTGCCAGCTCTGTACAGTCGTGGTGTACGAATTTGGAAGTTAATGAGATGTTAAAAATGTAGAGGTGTGGGGAGAAGAATAAAAGTGACAGGCCATTTTTTTGGCAGGACACTTTCAAGCTCTCAGATGTGTTGACAAAAGCAAGAATTGATATAATGTTCTTTAGATGCCCCAATAAAAATCTATTCGCCAAATGTTTTTCTTTGATAGCAGCAAGTGATCGCTGTTAGTCAATCACAAGTGATTTTGGCATTTAAAGAAACGTGGAGCTCTGCCAAGGGCCGTGGGGAGAGCCAAATATGACATGTAGAGTGGGTTACACGTCGGGCATGTGTGCCACACATTGGGTGTCCGTGTGCCTCGGGGAAGTTAGTTTCCAGACTTCCTTCCCTGATGTCCGCTTGTCGTTTGACTCAGGTTTGAGGTGCTCTTCCAGTTTTGCAAAGAAGTCCCACTATACCGTGGCGTTTTTTATCCTTCCGCCTGTCAGTCTAGCGTTCGCCTTCCTGACCTGAGTATTCTCCTTAACCTGGAAGGGGCTCGAGGCTGTGATGGTTGAACCTCAGCAGGGGTCTTGGGAACCTATGGTAACAAAAAACTCACTTGCATGTTACTTGTTATCCAGACTTTGTGAGTTTTTTCTCTTCACGTTCTTCACGTATGTATTTCTCAAAATATAATACATTTATGGCTGAGGAAAAATATTCTTTTTATTTTGCAGCTTGTTTGCTTTTAGTTCTGTTCTGGACACTGTGCTACTGAGACCCAAAGAAAAGAACGATGTAGAATATTACAGTGAGACCCAAGCACTACTGAGGACAGAAATTGTTAATCCTCTGAGAATGTAAGTACAAGACGTATGGTTATTTATTTTTTATTTTATTTTTTTTAAGCTGAGCCATCCTGCCACCTGTTGGCAGCTCAGCGGCTGCTCAGCTCGGGCCGGGCATCGAACCGCTGTTGCTCAGAGCTCGCACTCTTGAGTGAGCTCTTAACCAACTGAGCCACTCGGCCAGCCAGACGTATAGTGATTTTTACCTTTACGTGGTGTCCTATTTGCTGTTTGTTTTTTGTTGTTGTTGGGTTTTTTTTTGTACAGTAATTAATTTATGCCCTGCTTTCATTTAATAAGAAATGGGCAAAAATTAGTTCTCTTAATGAAGTTTTAACAGTTTTTTTGACCTTTGGTCAGTGTACTACCTTTACTTTTCCTTAAGCCTGGCCAACGTATAACATAGTGTGTGCTACCAGGCGAGTAAGCCATTTGGCAGAATGTGCTCTAATTTAGCAATTGCAGTAGGTTTAGAAAAGCTGATACAATATAAAGTATTTCGGATTCCTATCTTCCAAACTAGTTTATTCCAACACTCCCCTGACAGTAATCATGCTTATTAATCCAATTGGTATGGTCTAGCTTCTTAAGCTTAATTTTATCTGAGAGAATAGGAGCAAAGGAAACTGTATTTATAGAGTAGCTAGTATTTATTGCTTTTGTATTAGAAACAGAGGAGATGTATTTTAGTAACACATTTCTTGCTTAAAGGAATATATTTAGGCCTCATTGTACTGCCCTTAAAAATGTGATGTTTTTGGTCATTTCCTAGTTTAAGAATTGTAAATATGCCTTTCTTTGGCCACAGGAAGCATTTTGTAGTGGTACAAGCACAAGTGATAAGATGTAGTCCAAACTTTTGATAAATGGCAGTAGGAATGTGTGATAGTGTCACATTGTAAAATTTAAACTATGAAGAGTTAGGGCCATAGATCATAAAACAAATGTGTTCATTCAGGAATATAGGGAGCAAAGTATATAATTTAAAGTCCATATTAAAATAAATTTAACTTTTGTGCCATAGTTTTCTTATTTAACAATTAAAGTAGAAAAGTAGTTTGATAGAAGATTTTGACCAAAAAATGCAGAACACTGAAATATAATGAGCATTCAGAATGACCTGCTGTGGAACACGACGAGGAAAGAAAATTATAAGTGAATAAACTTCCCACTTATATCTTTTGTTTCCCTAAATTCTGTAATGATGAAAATGTCTTTAGTTTTTACTTCTTAAGATAATTATGAGTCTTCATTTTTACATCCATTATTTTGTATTGTTTGTATAAATGCACATTTTTAAATGGGACTGTTTTCTCCCCCACGTGATTGATACTAGAACAAGACAGATCCAACCTGAAACTGCTTCCTTCTTTTCCTTCCAAAACACTGTAGTCCATTAATGAATATTCTTTGGATACTGTTGTCCAACCAGTTAAGAGTCATGTTTAACCACTTTGTCCCCTGTCCACACACCCCGTGGGGACCAGAATTCCCTGTGTCTGCAGCGATTGTGTTGTAGAGCTGGTTTTATTGGACACCGAAACCTCTACTTTCTCCATTTTAAGCTTCTCAAAGGCAGAGAGCCTGTTTTTTGTTTGTTTGTTTTTTACTGTATTCATTTTTCTATTCCCAGTGGCTAAAAGGTTAGATTACTGTGTAAGTGGTAGGTGCTCAATAAATGTTGGCTGCAAAGAGTTAATGAGTGACTGACTAGTCTATAAAAAATGGCTGTAAGATTAGCTAGCTCTGATGGGCTCTTATTAAGCCTATGGTGGCTTCCAATGTCTCTTCTGACGCCATTGCTAGAAAAAGAATTTCGTCATAATTGACATTCAGCGTATTGAAGGTAGCCCGTATTCAGACAAAGATGAGAGAAATGTCATAATTATGATGATTGGTATGATTGCAGGTTTTAGATTTTTCTTTCCCTTCGTAGCTATTTCACCCTTTAGTATTAAAAAGACTCTCTCTCTCTCAAAATTGTATATTCTGTTTTAGAAAATTAGCTTTAATTTCCTAAGCAAATATAGTATTAAAAAACCAGTCATCATACATTAAAAACATTTTTTCTTGTATTTGTATGTGATAGATATTTTTACGGTATAATAATATTTGGGATAATTCTGCTTCTAGATTTTTAATTTTTCAAACCTCAAGAAGGCGGCCATTGCATTTTTCAAAATAATTGTCTAGCCTGTTGATTTATGACATGCTGGAATTATATAAAAAAAAGTGTGACTATCAAAATATGTTAATTTACTGTAGATGCCAGTATTAATTTTTTTTTTTTACTAACATAGATATGGATATGTGTGTGCAACAAAGATTATGAAACTGAGGAAAATACTTGAAAAAGTTGAGGCTGCATCAGGATTTACCTCTGAAGAAAAAGGTGACTGTCTTAATGTATAAGATATGCATTAAAAGTAATTTGAAAGCATATGCTAAGTTATCGGCTGAAATATGTGTCTGTATAGTTTTGGGGGTTTTATTTTAAAATAGGAATTTCTATGTGATGTACAATTTTCTCCCCTTTTTAAAATGTTTTCTCTCTTTTCAAAGTGAGTGATGATAGGGAATAATGAACTCCTTTGAGGAACTGGCTGGTTCTAGGATATTGAATGAGTGAATAAGGAGTTCTCCCCTTCCCATCCACCAGTGATATTTGGACTTGCTTTCCAAAATTGCCGCGGTGAAGGGCTGCGTTGGGTCACCCACAAGTCCCACTCAGCTTCCCTTGTTACAAAGGCAGCTACAAAGCGCCAACCAGGGTGAAGTTTATGGTCAGAGTCAGTCTTTTAATCTGTTCACAGCTAATGGATTTCTTCAGAGATTCAGCTCTTGACTTTGAAAGTGTTCACAGCATATTGTAACTAGCTATAATATTTAGAGACTTGATAATGATTTAAATATCAGGAGGATACAAGGTCATACTTCAGGTTTTATTCCACTTACCTTAAACCTCCCAAAAGAAATGTAAATTATTTCTCTATCGTGACTTATACCTTTTGAAATGCAATAAAGTTATGACAAACTAGGACATAATACTTTATCACATCCTCTGTATTTTTCGTTAGGAAAATTTGAGAACTATGCTCTTACTTGAAATAATATTGACTATGAAATTGAATTTAGTGTAGGGATTTGACTGTTATAAATAAAAAATAGAATGTTTTGAAAGCTTTGTCTGTGACTTATTTGATTTTTAATTTTCTCCTAGATCCTGAAGAATTCTTGAATATCTTGTTTCATCATATTTTAAGGGTGGAACCATTGTTAAAAATCAGGTAACTTTTAAATTGTTACAGAAGCTTTGGAAAAACAGACAATCCTCATTTGTCCTGCCATCATTTGGTAGCAATGATTTTCTTAGTGATTACTTACTATTGTATTTGTTTAGGAATCTTAATATGCTAGATTCCTACAACGCAAATTAGTTTTAATCATTGTCTTCTCCATAGCATTATACTTAACTTGAAGGATGCATCCAATGTAAATTTGTACTTTTAATTTTAACCCTAGTAATAAATATCATTGCAAATCATTTTCTTAAAACTGTATATAAATACTTTTGTAATTTAAATTAATGAACCCTTTTAAGAGAATCTTATTCTAACCTAATCAGACACTGTGAGAACACTGATTTTTGTCTACCTATCACTCAAAGAATTAACTTAGCCTTAAATTAGCTCTCTTATTCCCAGCTTTGTAACTTGGTCTTTTTCCCCATCTGGAACAAAAACCTTGACTCTAATGCAGTAAAAGTTCTTAGTGAGACATTGTAAGTGGATGAACTTTCCGTATCGTTTCAATGCTGGACCCTTTTGCGTTTCAGTCTGAGTTTCTCTGTTGAAAATCTTGCTGATATACGATTGATTTCCCTAAAAGCTAATCACAGACAAGCACTGTCACTCATGTTTGTGTCTAAGTGATAGTGTTTGATGCCAGTGCTGAATTGATGGGTAAGAAGGAAGAAGGGTGGGTAGTCCCAACAATTACATGTTGATATCATGTTGGATGTTCTAGCTAATGAAATAAGGCAGGATACATAAACATCAAGACCGTGTAATTATTACCTGTGCAAAGATGGCAATAGCTGTATGTATACCTAGAAAATCCTAGAGAATTGCTTAGAATTGACGAGTATTACCAAAAGAATTTGTAGTTCGACCATGTAGGAAATCTCCATGGAGAAATCAAGAGTATTTGTGTATACCCTCTAGCAAATATGAAAAAGGGATAATTTTATACTTTTGAAAGTATAAATTGCCAAAAGTCAATTTTTTTGCAGTAGGTTTTTAAAAAAGACTTTCAAAGAGCTGAATGGTGATTTGGTTAATTAGTGTGAAAGTTTGTGTTCCAGGTAGGACGGTTAAATAACTTAAAGATGTTAATTTTTTATAAAATAACTTGAGTATAAGCAAGACCTTAATTCCATAAAGTGATTTTAGAGTTTTCTTCAAGGTGAAATGGATGGAAACAAAGTTTTTTTAAAAAGAATTCTATTATAAGCTACAAAGGCAAAACAATAGACATTAAAACAGTGTGATACTAGTATAAAATTAGAAATATGGATCAATAGATCTGAATAGAAAGCTCAGAAATAGAATTAACTATATGTAGTAGTTCAGTATCTTATAAGTCAGCCTTCAAACAAATGAGGAAGGAAAAGATATGTTTAATACATGATGTAGGAAATCGAGCAGGCAATTTGGGAGGAAAAAGTCACTTTTGTTTTTCATCTTGAAGAGATAAATTCCAGAAGATTAAAACAGTTGTCATTCTTTTTGTCCTAGCCCAACACCCCTGAGGGGCGGGGTACACTCCCAGTAAATACACAGGATGAACGCTGCAGTGGTTCTCAGAGGGTGTTAGGAAGGGTCAGACACATACAGGAATACATCTCAGCGTCCGAAGGCCTGTGCAGTTTGAAAGGGCCCTGGGCTGTTCTGACACCCATTGAGGGGTGCACTGCCGCCCCTCCCCTTCAACAGCCTCTTCATATTGAGAATCACCGGTTTGAAGATTTAAGAAGATATAAAGTGATACTTTGAAAGTTAGTCCCTTTTTTCCCCAGCTGTCATTATTCCCCTCCATGAGCCTTTCCTTCTGAGGGAGAGTCAGCTGATGGCAACATACAGGAGGATGAGTACCTTAAAATCTGAAACAGTCTGTAAGAGACTGTAGAATATTCTCAAATGATGGGAGAGACAAAAGAAGGACTTCGATAACTGGAGGATAAATGCAGATTCGATAACAAAAATAGAATTCCCAGAATTAGAACAAAAATTCGTGTGTATCTCTCCATGTATAATGTATGGCTGGAAGGGGTCCCTCAGAGTGCAGCGCACACAGCTGGAGAGAAAATTGCTCATTTGGAAGGTAAATGTGAAGAAATTACCCAGAATATGGCTTAAAGGAATAAAGAGTTAGAAAACAAGAAAGAAAGGGTAAGAGACATGAAACATTGATTCTGATTGTAGTTCTAGAAGGAGACCCTAGAGAGGATAGGGAAGAAACAATATTTTGAAGGAAACTAGCTGAAGAGTTTTCTGAATTTTGACAGACTTAAATTCTAAGAATAAAGATGTACAAAATTCCTGAGCGAGAAGAACCACAACTAAATTACCACTCAGAGACTTATTACAGGATGTACTTTAGTAAGGCAAAACTGAACTTAGAATAAAGGAGTGGTATGCAAGAAACAAGAATCAAGAAACTGGTAAATGTGGGTAAATTAAGCTCTCATATTTAAAAAACCATAACGGTAGCAGTAATAATAATGATTAATTGTGTGTGGGGTGTTTAGGTGACACTAAAGTCATGGCCACTGATAAGAGAGGATAGTGAATGGAGGCAAAGCATTCCAAGAAAAATAATGGAATAAAATCAGCAAACAAGAAGCAAAAATTTAGGAGACCATTCAGATTGATTTATTGAGCACTTCTCATTCTAGAACATGGTCTGAGTATTCTAATTACACGGATATATTATATGCCACAATGCTAGATAACCTGGCATCTGCAAAGAATTTTAGTTGGCTGCCCATTATGATCTGTGTTTTGAAGGTAGATAGACCAATATTATACAGCTCATGAATGTTTTTGTCTTTTCTAGGTGTCTATTTTTCCTTTAAAGTTAATGTAACATTTGTACCCGTGTGCTCAGATTTTCTTAGTGGAAAATGGCTATATGAATTGTACATTTTTGTACAATAGCACCAGCTTTCTTGCAGTTCTTGCATATGGTGTCTTAATGACCAGCTAATTACTCCAGGGTTTTAGCCTTCTAAAACTTAAGTAATGAGGTTTGAGTAGTTGTGTCCCCGCCCCCATTCCCCTCTCTCCTGTCCCAATATCATAAAACTATTTGTCTTACATTCCCATTTCTGGGTCTCGTCTCTCTCCATGTTTGTCACTTGGTACGCCTTTAACCATCACACCACCACCATCACCATTATTATTTCTAGTTGTTGCAATGACTGACTTCTACCACTCTGCCTTTTTAGTTTTCTGTCTTATGTTTTTCTATTTCCTATTAATTGTTTTTAATGCTTTTTGGCATTCGCAGAAGAATGTTGGCCTTTTTTATAGTCATCAACAACTAATTAAAATATCGATACAGCATAGCCTTAAGTTTTTTGGTTCTCGTTTCTTTTTATTTGTTGTAGGTTCTCAAAACTTTCCTGCTTTGTTACCATATAAATTGTGTCTATTTTAAGATATAAGTTGCTTTGGGAAGCTGAGGGTTTCTGAAGGTTTGTCTCTGAATAGCTGAGGTTTTATTATGAAAACTATGTTAATATTTTTCTCTAAAAATCTTAAGATCAACATATGTCTAGATATAAACCGTCTGACTCTATACCCAGAAATTCTGCTAAAAAGGTAAATAGTAAGTTTAAAGATTATTACTTCTTGGACAGAGTTAGTCTTGAAGATTAAATGCATTCTGTAGTAAAATATGTTCACTAGAAGGTTAACACTGTGATTGGCATTTGGAGGCACCCACTTGGTGTTGGTTGAATGAATGAGTGACCATCTAAAGAGACAGCATGCTTTAGTGGAAAGGATAGTAGTTAAGACACCTGGGTTCTACTCCCCCCTCTGCTTCTAACTTGCTGGGAAGTGATTATCCTGCCCTAGATGTCAGGCCTTCAGTTTAGAAATGAAAAGTTTGGTTTAGACTGTCTAGAAAGATGTGTCATCCAGGCACATGAGAATTTATTTTCCCGTTTCAGGCATTGCATGCGGTTTGCTGCTTTCTAGATTTGGACACTTGAGTTGAATCAAGTGATTTTAGCTTCTGGTTATTATTCAGTGCTTTTTTATTGCAATGTTATTCCATTATTTTTCTCCCGATCCTGAGAGAACTTTTCAGTATGAACGCTAAAACAAGAAATCATTTTTACAGTCTTATCTTATGCATAAGGACATTTAATGATTTTATCTCAATTGTCATCTATGCCCGTGTTCCCACTGTACGAAGTTGCATCATCAATTTCATAGTTTTTCTGTTCTCAAATACTTTTGGAACAACTCCACGTTTTGAATTAAATATTTCAGAAATAAATTACATGGGTTTTTTTTCTCCTGCGTGTTTTTTAGGTCAGCAGGCCAAAAAGCACAAGATAGTTACTTCTATCAAATTTTTATGGAAAAAAACGAGAAAGTTGGAGTTCCTACAATTCAGCAGTTGTTAGAATGGTCTTTTATCAACAGTAACCTGAAATTTGCAGAGGTTAGTGATAACTGCTTACTCTGTTTTATATGAAAGTCCTTTGGATTCTTATGTTTCAAAAATTATTACTTTTAACCTACTGGGAACAGTTAGAAACACAAGCTGTTTACAAAACACAAAAGAAAACGTGCATTGTTTCAACTTTGTGAAGAAAATGCCTTAGAATTAAGATTGAACTTTTTGGATTTTTGGTGCCAAAGAAAATATCAAGCTAATTTGTAACTTGAAAACTTTTAAGTAGTTGAAAGCAAAAAAGATTTATATGTATATGTGTATATATATATATATTTTATATTTATATATGTTTTAAATTTTACCCAATTTACCATTTTACCCAATTTAAAATTTTACCCAAGCGTATTACTCAACTATTCAAAAAAGAATGTTTACTTTTCCTCCTTCAATAAGAGACAAAATAAATTCACTTATATTGGTATTGTTAATGAATAAATGATGTAAATTATTTTACTTTTACTGTTTATTGAGTATCTTCATGATCTTAGTAGTACGTGTATGGTTTATTTTTATTGTATTCATTTCTGAAGAAGTGTGGTAAAACCTTAACAGCTGCAGTTATTTATCGGCTGACTATAAGGAATAGTGTCCTTCAGTGATGACGGTTTCCTTATTAGACTTGCAAAAACAGTTTTCCCCAAACATTTACTGAGTAAAAACTCAAAGTAGAATGTCACTCTAGATCAGCGGTTCTCAACCTGTGGGTCGCGACCCCTTTGGGGGTCGAACGACCCTTTCACAGGGGTCGCCTAAGACCATCGGAAAACAAAGATATTTACATTACGATTCATAACAGTAGCAAAATTACAGTTATAGAGTAGCAACAAAAATAATTTTATGGTTGGGGGTCACCACAACATGAGGAACTGTATTAAGGGGTCGCGGTATTAGGAAGGTTGAGAACCACTGCTCTAGATGGTCGTCCTGCTCTTTGAGACCCAGGGTTGCCGACCTGCCTGACCTCTGGGCGTCCGTGTGTCTGTGGGATCTTGGACCACTTGTAAAAATGGGCTCGTTGGTGCTCTGCCTTCACCTTCCACGTTCACACGTGGGTCCTGTTTTACAGGCCATCAATGTTCTGGTGAAACCAGAGCTTGGTTTGAGAGCCAGGACTATTTCAGTTTCATAGGGAAAAGGGTTTTTCAGGACTTTGAGCCTCAAAATGTATCTTTTTTTTTTTTAGGCACCATCATGTCTGATTATTCAGATGCCTCGGTTTGGAAAAGACTTTAAACTATTTAAAAAAATTTTTCCTTCTCTGGAATTAAATATCACAGATTTACTTGAAGATAGTAAGTATAAGATTTTTTCGTTTGTTCTGTTTGCTTTTCAGAAATAGTCTGTCAGGTCATTCTCCGTAATTGTGGGTAAGAGTCTAGCACGATATGAACCTTCCAAAGGGAATCCCTATCTAAAGAGCCTAGACATAATAAGCTAGCCATTTCAGTTCTAGGAATTTATTTTGAGAAAATAATCAGACATGCAAATTAAATTTATATGGAAATATGTTTACTGTTGCATGATAAAGAAGTTAGAAACAATCTATATATTAATAGAGGAGAGTAGTTAAGTAAACTATGGTTATCTGTCAGCGAACTACTGCCATTAAAATCCATGTTTTTGAAGACCAATGTATATGGGCATGGCCATGATGTAGTGTTAAGTGACAAGTATGTCAATGTTTTCTACAAGAGAAGACACACACACACACACACACACACACATACACTCACTCACTCACATACACACTCACTCATGTAAATATGCAGATATAAAATGATTGGAGCAAAGTCACATTAGTATTGACAGTAGTTATCTGTTGCTGACTAAAACTGTAGATGCTTTCAGTTTTTTTCTTTATACCATCTTGTATCTTTGAACTTTCATCAATAGACATTTTATAATTGGGGGAAAACATCCTGGGATATAGTAACAAAAAAGAAGTCATTGGTCAGACAAAATGTCTTTAAAGGTATCCTGAGTTCAAGGAAATCCAATTTAAAGTTTGTGGGGGTGGGGAGGGACCTTTTCTAGTCCATGATCAGTATCTTTTCAAAAGCTTAACTTTTTAATTTTTGTAATGAAAGAAAGCCATTTTTAAAGGCTCCTTACCCCCACCCCCACCCCCCATTCTCACCGTCTTAGCCCCTAGGCAGTGCCGGATATGTGGCGGGCTGGCAATGTACGAGTGTAGAGAATGCTATGATGATCCTGACATCTCAGCTGGAAAAATCAAACAGTTTTGTAAAACCTGCAACACTCAAGTAAGTTTAACTTCACTTAATGGATGTTCTCTTATCAAGCAGTAAGTTCTTGATAGTTGTAAACAGATTTCCAGTTTTGAAAAGTTTTCAAACTCGTAATTAACTTATAAAAACTCATAATTAAGTGGTATTGTTTGTGCCTCTGGTGTTCATTTGAGAGACTTCTGTGAAGGGCTTGGTTGGTGTCACAGGGATGGATTCTGTTACAGGCAGTGGAGCGTTCATTCACATGCAGCCCTGAGTGTGGCTCGTTCCTGTTCCATTGTAGGTCCACCTTCATCCCAAGAGACTGAATCACAAATATAACCCAGTGTCACTTCCCAAAGATTTGCCCGACTGGGACTGGAGACATGGCTGCATCCCTTGCCAGAAGATGGAGTTATTCGCTGTTCTCTGCATAGAAACAAGCCACTATGTTGCTTTTGTGAAGTACGGGAAAGACGACTCTGCCTGGCTCTTCTTTGACAGCATGGCCGACCGGGATGGTATTTAAAAAACTTTTCTTTTACTCGTGGCTTAATTTCAGTCTGCAGTGGGAGAGTTCACAGGGGGATAGCCTGTCCTGAGAAGTAAAATAGTTTGTGTGAGAAGCCTTTCAGGAACAGTCTAAAATCTTGAAATGCATTCACAGCCCTGCTACTAAACTAACGATAATATCGTTGGGATATTTTGACATGCACATGGTCTTCGTTCAAAAAAGAATCCACAGATTCCTACTTCAGGGCTGAGAGGTGTTCTTTTCCAAAAGCTTTCTCTTCGTGCACCTTCGGGGTCCTCTCATTTTCTAGACAAGCCCCAGCGGCCATTTATTAAGTGCCTATGTGCCACGCTCTCTGGGAAGCACATTAAGTCAGTATGCCTGATCCTAGCAATATGGGAATTATTCCTGCTCTTCTGTGGGTAAAGTGAGGCTTCAGGTGCCTGGAGTCACATGGATTGTGTTTAACTCAGTCTTCTGACCTCGTTGCTTATGTGTTATATATTACACCATGTTGTCTTCTACATGACAAACAGAACAGACGTTAATAGCTTCTTTGGGAAAAACCAGCCTATTCTGCATGTAATGTGTTTTCTTCCTGAAATGTCCAATATGCTGCACCTTCTCGGCCATTTTTTAGGATGCTCAGTCATTATTTAACCAATACTTAGTGACCACGTGTGTAGTGCTGGGGGCGCTAGTAGGTCTCAGGGATGGGACAGTTGTCAGACCAGCTGTAGCCCTGCCTGCGTACAGATTAGGACCCGTCCCAGGCGAGGCTGTGAGCTATGGCTTCCGTGTGCTCCACGCTCCTTCTACCCTGTTTCTCCTTTAGCGGCTCTTGCAAGCTTCAGTCCCCAAGTGTGGTGTGGCCTTCTCATAGGATACCCCCATGTGGCAGCCTCTTAACCAGAGACCCAAGCTTTAGACCAAGGATTGTCAACGCTTTCTCAGCTCTCAGACACTTGAGGGGCCCAGCACGGCCCCATCTGTACATGTGTCCCTGTCCCAGGTAAAATTTCACTGAACAGCATAGGGGTTTCAGATGTTTGGAAAAGCCATTGGGACACCACACCAGCAGGGCCTTTCCTGGAAGCCCTGAGAACCACACGCGCAGCCTCTTCCTTCAGGCTCATGGTGTGTGCGACAGAACCCTGTGAGAGGCGCGCAGGTACCGCTTTCAACTGAAGGCCAGAAAATAGTGTCTTCATTTTACTGGATGTGCTGTGTCTCGTGGTGAGCGGTGCAGGGGTGGCTGTGCCTGCGGAGGGAGATGGGAACGTGACGAGTCAGCTGTTGGGCACCTTTGTGTATATCACGGTATTACTGCGTACAGAGAGGAGCCTGGAAAGAAGGTCGCAGCCTTTGCTCAGGACTTGCGTCCTTTTGACCGTTTTATTCACTATTGGCCCCAGAATCCTTTCAGAAACCAAGAAATGAGAGAGCTGTCGAGAGAGAGTTCAGGAGAGAATGTAACTGCCGGGATTACACGGTCTTGCAGATCCTGAATGGAGCCTTGACTCAGTTCCATGGCTGTGAAGTTGTGCTGGGGGCGGGACGGCCAGGGTTCCCGAGTTTCACTGGCCTGAGCAGCGCTCTTCTCTTCCGCAGGTGGTCAGAACGGCTTCAACATTCCTCAGGTCACCCCGTGCCCGGAAGTGGGGGAGTACTTGAAAATGTCCCCAGAAGACCTGCACTCCTTGGACTCCAGAAGGATCCAGGGCTGTGCTCGAAGACTGCTCTGCGATGCGTACATGTGCATGTACCAGAGCCTCAGCATGAGCCTGTACAAATGAGGGGGCGTCCGTGCAGGCGCCTCACAGTGCGTAGGTGGAATGTTGGATTTCCTGCGAGCTGGCAGCTCTGTGCACGGTCCATTGCCGGCAATGGACACCTTTGTGGTGATGACCCTTCAGAAGAGAATTCCTGTGTTTCAAAACAAATTGCTTTTGTGTTACTGAAGTATTTAATAAGAAGCATTTTGCACTCTAGAAAGTATGTTTGTGTTGGTTTTTTAAGGAGTCACAAGTTATTAATGACTGAAGCTTTAAGTTAAGTGCATTGATCATATGATATTTTTGGAAGCATAAAATTTTAATTGTGAGAGTTTAAACCCTCTTTTAGTCCATTGAGGATGTAAATAAATGTGTGTTCTTTATGGACCAAGAATATGAAATCATTTTTCCTTTGTAGCTAACGGATGCCTTGAGGAAGAAATATTTTGGTTTTATTCAGAGGCTACTTTCAATCCAGTTATTAAAGTTGTACTGAGTTTGATTTGCTAATTCTTTCCTATATAGTGCCCATTCCTGCATGTCTGCAACCTGCTGAGTTTCTGTGTTTCTGCAGTAGTGGTCAGAAAAGTACTTAAATTTCCCTTAGTGGTGTTGTTTTCTGTTTGTTCTGGGGTTGAGATATATGAGTGCTTTTGTCATAAAACGTCCACTTTTGACGTAGTTTTCCTGGGGGTTACAGCACACAGCCCTTGGCACTCGCCGCTCACAGTCGTAACTGTCAGCCTGGAGGGTTTCTAGGGTTTTCTGAGGCTCTCTATTTTATGGAATGGGTCACAGTAAATTTTATTAAAGGGTTGGAGCGATAAATACAATGCTACACAAATATTTGGTCTATAAGGAAATAAATTTGGTCCGTAGAGTTACTCATTAAAATTTCCCTGAAGAGATTTATTAGATGTCTAAACCTCCACCATTTTAAATAAGACTGTCCAGAACCTAAGTTTGATCAGTCAATCCCCTCACCAAATTCAGTGTGATTTCACTTGAAATAATGACAGTTATGAATCAGATAATTGTTTTATTTAAATGGTAGCAGCAGCTTCATCCTCCTCCTGATTAAATAAGTAGAAAATGGATGTTTTCTTAGCTGATATCCATGGTGTGTGTCTGAACCACAGTGGATGTTGTAGGCTAGAACTGTAGATTACAAATGTCAGTGCTGTGGCATGTCTGTTCTCCAAGTGTTGTTTGTGGTGGCGTCTTTCAGGAATGACTTTCTCACCATGCAGAAAGACAGAAAAGTTGTCGTATGTACATAGCATATGACTTCATAAACATTTACTGTCCAAAAAAAAAATAAAAATGGAAAGAATTATTTTTTTTAAAGGCACGTTTACCCTTTGGTTCTATCATTCCAATTTGCTAATATTTATTAGCTTTCTCAGTCATACTGTACAACAATTCCTTCATCTTGTAATTTTTTTCATTTTTGAAATGAAAAGGTTCGTAACTTTTGCATGAGGTTTTGCCGGATGCTTGGGTGGGCTGGTGAGATGATTGATACTAGATCAGGGGTTGGGGGTGTGGAGCCCTGGGCTGTAGGGCTGGCCCTGCCTCCGGCCCCCTCTGGTAAATGAGGGCGTGGGATGCAAGATGTCCAAAGTCTCTTCTAGCTCTGACCATCTACAAGTCCAGTCACTCCTAATACATATGTATGGAATGAATAAATGGGTGAATGAGCTTATTGTCAGTGTGATTTTGAAAGGTTTTCTGGGGGAATGATTGGGAATCTCTAGGTGAGGCTGGATTTTGCAGTTAAAAAAGAAGACAGTTCCTTTTCTTTAAAAATTCAAGCTAAATACAAGTTGAGGAAAGTCTGTCCTGCCAGCCTCTCCTGGCACAAGACTTGAAGACTTTTTGAAAGCATGCACAGTTTCACATGGGTGTGGGAGGCTTTCAAGTGGAAAGGGCCTCATCCAGAAATTATTCCTGAGGACTTGCCTTCAGGTGGGCCTTGCCTTCAGGTGGGCCTTTCCATCCTTTTCGTGTTACCTGGGGTCGGGTACACTCAGTAAGGATGCAGGGCCAGTGGTGGTGGGTCCTTCCCGGGCGCTGGGGCTCCCTCTGGGCAGTCCCTCCTTGTCCCTGCTCCAGCAGAGCCTGGTGTCAAGTGGGCACCAGGGCTGGGCTGTGTGGCACCAGTGGCCCGTGTGCCTGTTGATTTATTTAATGTTCAACCTTAAATTTTCTTTAATATTTTCCTGGTGGCTTTTTAAATGTTTTGGTTATCCCACTTTCCATATCATATCTAGAAACATGGCAATATAGTAGAATTATTTATAATGGTTTCTGATTCATAGCCACAAATGGAAAATATAACAAGTCATGTTCCCCCCCCTCCAAATAAATACACACGTGCAAGTGTGTGTGTGTCTGTGTGTGTGTGAATTGATTATAGGAGAGAGAGAGAGAGAGAGAGAAGAGCAACCATATCAACATTTAGAAGCTAAATGTGTTCGGTCCCCCACTCAGCTTTATAAAGGAGTTTCACTCTATCCACAAAGGAATGTTTTCTAAGACACAGTGAAAACCTAGAGAATCGGAAACAAAACTCAATAAAATCCAGTTGTTACAATTGCTGAGGATTGTCTCCTTAACAGTTTAGGATTTTTGTAATTTGTATTTGCCAAATGTTAGAGGTAAATAGCTTCTTTCTCTCCCTTGGATTCATTTATTTTTTTTCACATAATTCAGGAACTAGGGGAAGACATAGCAGTGAATCTTAATGGAACTTGTACTGTCGTTAACTTCCTGTTGTTTGAACATGGCATCTTCATACATTCAGGCATCACTGCCCTGCTCAGTATTGGTATCCAGCTAGATAACTTTGCATCTGCTTGTGTGACCGTGGACAGATGTGAGTGGAGAACACCGGTGTCAGGCCTTAGCCGCGTGACTGACAGCCCACCAACAAGTCTTTATCAGACATTATTACCTAGGATTGTGAGGCATGGTCCCAGCCCCAAAGGGCTTTACCACCTGCTTCTAACAGAGTATCTACTGATGGTTGCTTAGCTTAACTGGAAGGGTGCCAGCCCTGGGGACGCTCAGGGAGGCAGTGTGGTGTGACAGAAGGTAGTGGGACTAAGAGACAAGAGTCCTGACCAGCTCTTTGCTGTCACTCTAGTAGTCGTAGACCGACGTCTTGACTTCCTTGGACCTTAGAGTCATCCTCTGTGTAACAAGGGGGTTGGAATAGCTAAATTTATAGGAAAAAAATATATATACAAATTTCTGGGACGCAGGCCATCTCTGCTGGGTCTGACCCTTCATGAATGGGGCCTCAGGGATTTGATGGTAAAAAGTTCTACGAGGCGAACCAGATGATCAGCCAGATTGGAAAGCCACTGAACTAAAAGTTCTCAAAAAATACCTTTTCTTTATGATTGTGCGATCATACAGTGTTGTATTAATTACTCTACACAAGTGTGTGAATTGTGTTTATCTTATTTGTGTTTACATAAGAAATGCATTTGAATATATATATACCTCAACCCGCCACTTCCTAAAGGAGTTAGCAGTCTTTGGAACCCACATAAGTCTTAAGAGGATATTTGATGTTATTTACCTGGACACTTGCCTTCCAGTTTATTTCTTCAGGGGAAAGTGAGGCTCTGGGAACCAAAGAAAGGGAAAAACAAAATTGTCATGCAAAGTGAAAGTAAAAACTTCAATTACTTCTTACTATCTGCTACTTGATGATGAAAACGTTTACATCATATGAGAAGATTCTTCCTGGGGTAATAGGTCCCCTGGTCATAAAGTAAAATGTCCTTGTTAAAGGAGGTGGACTGTAAGCTTATAATTAAAAGTAAGAACACCTTCCCTGGGGTTGAGGATCTTAAGGATTCTCCTCCAACGACAGGAAGACTTGGGTTCCCCAAGGCAGTGTGTGTGTGGGGGGGCAGAAGCATGTCAGAATGGACACTGCTGGGCGAAAGAGGGTGGAGGAGAGGGTGAACCCTGGCGGCAGCGCGGCGCGGGCTCCGTGAGCCTCGGGATTGTCGTTTGTCGGAGATGAGGAGTTTAGACAGGAGGCTTCCTGCCGGGAGTTGGCACGGGGCTTGTCTGTCTACTCTCCTTTCAGAAGTTTTATTGGAGGGAAAAGAGAAAAAAAATGACCCTTCATCTTATTCTAAGTCCTGGGGCAGCTGAGGGTCTCTCTCGAGTCAGAAAGCAGTGGTGGAAAGCGAACCAGCAGATGCGGCCCAGGAGACCGGGAAGGAGGGAAAGGAAAGCTCTTCCTTCTTCCTGATCATAAACGTCAGGATTCGGAGCAGGTCGCTCAAGAACCGCATCTGACCCCCTGACCCTCTGCCCTGGCAGTGGTGCCATTTTTGTTTGCCTGTATTTTAAGCCTTTCGTTGTGTAACAAGGCAGGGCTACTTATGGGGGGCTTGCTCTGTCACCATGGCTTCATATAGAATTCTCTCGCACTTTTAAACACTGTCCATGTTTGCTTTTTATTTCCTCCAGAGAAAAATTGTATTGGAGACTCTTCTGTCCTTGCTTTATTTTCTAAAATGGCCTATAGTGCTGTGGAATCTTAGAAAGTCTTAGGATCCTGTCACTAAGATGCATTTTTTGAAAAAGCCCATTTGAAACTTCCCAGGGAAGTGTGGTTGTTAGGAAACTGCTGGAAAGGAGCACGTGCTGTGTTGCGTTTCCCATATCTGATCTCTTACTCAGCATTCTTTTTCCCTGAAGAACATCCTGTATTTGTGAAGACCTTCTTTAAAAATAACACCACATGAAATATCCCTTTACTATCAGATTGTTCTGATTTAGCCTTAATTTTGTTAAGATTTTTAGACGCGAATGAAGTGCTGCTGTGGAAAGAAATGTACTATATATACTATTTCTGTATCATTAAAATTAAATTTTTATGGTTCCTTTTCCTTTATTTCTTTGGGGAAGGGTTTTGGGTTGTGGGCAAACGAGTTGAGCACCACTTCTTACGCTGTCACAGTGGTGCCAGGAGAGAAGGTCCCTTTGGGAGAATGCTGTCCCTGAAAACGCACCCCTGTCCTGCCTCTGCCATCATTACAATTGCTTTAGAAAACCTGACAGACGTTTCCTGTCCCAGGAGATGTGCTGGTCTCGGGGTCGTCTCCTGCCCTCAGGGTTCCATGTATTTCCTGAGGTGACTTGGCATTTCCAAGCTCTGATCCTAATAAACGCCCATCTCAACCCGCCAACCTGAAGTGACTGCCCTGTGCTTTTCACCCTCTCTAAACATGGGGACGAAGCTGTGACTCTAAAATAGTGTGTCCCGGGCCCCACAGTTGCCAAGGAGGCAATTAAATGCTTTTCTGTATAATCCAGAGGCATGGTGACATGATGCCATAGGGGCTGAAATGTCTATCTTCTTTT